ACCCTTGGAAGCGCGGATTTAACTATCGAGCCTTTCCAGTCTTTCGGGATGGATCTTCAGAGCGCGATTATGCAACTGTTATGTCACGCTGGGTGAGATGGATAATCGCTAGGGAGCTTTGGGCGTTGTTCGTTCCGGGGAGGGTTGCGCGTGGTGTGTTGTCGCGATGCAATAGCGGCATGTGGGTACTCTGTCAGGTTACGTGATTTCAATATAATGGTAGGCTGTCGAGATGTAGATGACGCTGGGTGGGGCGAACTCTTGTGCTCGCCACGTTGTTATCTGGCAGCGGTGTATGTAGGAGATGATGACGATATATGCGTAGTATGGAAATGTAGGCCAGGATTGGAGCGTAGCCAGGGCGTCCGCGCGCTGCGCGCTTGCAATGATTGTCTTCCCGTCTAAGCTCTCTAAGACCGGTAGGGCGTCCCCAGGTTTCAGTTGACGTTTCAAGTAGGCAAATATTCGCTTGGGTGCAGTTGTAGCCGAGGATGCTAGCTCCTCTTCGAACTGCCGGCGTTTCTTGATCTTTGCGGCGTTACATAAGTTACGCTGTTTCTTGTACACCGTATAATCTTCATCACAACCCGAGCTGATGTATCTATCCCAAAGTTTACGACGTCGTCGCGCTAACTGTCTGTATTCCCTATCAAACCAATGCGGTTTGACAGGTCCGATTTTTGGATACTTAAGGGGAACGAACCGAGTACAGCGCGAGTTAAGCTTCCCCTTTACTAAAGACCACCAGGCCTCAAGTGACGCACCATGTGGTAGTGTCCAATCAGTCTGACTTGCGGCTTGGACAAGTCCGTTGAAGTCCGTCTTGCAATAGTTGAATGTCGGCTTCTGTTGATTGTAATATGGTAACGACAGTTCTAAGCTTGCTACAATAGAGCAGTGGTCACTGTTCGCCAGAGGTTCGATGACTCTGATCTCTTTTAGCTTCTGCTCGCAGCTCGTAAACATTAGGTCCGGACAAGATGCCGAGTACGGAGTTACGCGCGTCGGTTGGATGACATGTTGCGCTGCCCCGATTTCAATAGTCATTTTAGCGAATTGAGCCTCAACGTTGCCATGACCGGGAAGAAGTCGAACATCTGGCCAAAGTATCTTAGGTAAATTTAGATCCCCTATCAGTAAGAACTGAGGGCGGCTCATGTGCTTCTGTACATGTGGTATCCAATCTCAGCAACGGTTTAATGGGCTCCGGTAGATAATCCCCACTATTAGTTCTGCGCGCGTGAGACGGATTGTGCACCACAATTGCTCGCATAAACTATCCTCGCTCCGATAGGTACTGATAAGTTTGCCAGATAGTGACGATTTTATGTACAACAAAACACCACCGTGAGCCTTTGATTTTCGGTCGCATCGGAAACAAGAGTATCCTGACAACACGACTTCTTGGGGTATGACATCGGAGTTCAGCCGTGTCTCTGCAAGTCCTAAAATATCCGGCCGCTCCGAGACAGCGAAGCGGCACAGTTCGTCACGTTTGTTCATTAGGCGGCACACGTTGGCGAATGCGACACAAAGGTCCTGGGAGGTACTGCGGGACGTGCCTGGAGGTTGAGCAACCGATTGATACGGGTTCGTACACCCTTCTTGATCACCCGAAAATTTACAACTTGAAAGTCAGTCTCACCTTTCTCTGTACGGCGTTTGAGCTCAATGACCACAGTCTTCAAACGATCCCTGTCTTCGGGTTCCAAGTCTCGGCGGATGTGAACTTTTATGCCTTTCAGCCATGACAGACGAGACAGTATGAGCTGCGGCATATTAGGATTTGCAAAGGTGATCCACAGAGGTCGACATGACTGGTTAGTTTTCTGGCCAAGTCGGATTACTTGTTTAATCGTCACACTGTCCTCGCCCACATCCAAGAGTCTATCGATGAGTCCCTGGAGGAACTCAACATCGTGATCATAACGTATCTGAGGGTTTTCATCTTTTGCCTCCGGTACGTGGAAGACCATGAGATTATGACGCCTCAGCGAAATCAGTGATGAACCTGTGGGAGCAGAACTAGAGACGCTTAACTGATTAGGTAGTTGTTTATCAACAGGTGACGTCTGAACTCGATTACGTGGGCTCTTGCGCTTTTGAGTGGTCCATGGATCCTCGGTGTTCAGAAGTTCACAGACAGGCTCTGAGAAATTCACGGACCGATCAGTGAAGCGGCATTTCGTAGCTTTCGAGTCTGAGTCTTCCATCGGTGGGAAACATTGAACCTGGGGTTCGGCCGGGGTCGAAGACGCTGGTGGTGGTGCAGATCGCGGAGTGACAATAGAAGGCGAGGAGACAGAGATACTTTCACGAGGGCGTTTGATCCCACGTGGTGAACGGTTTGTTTCTATCTGAAAGAGAGATTTTCCCGCAGTTGTTGGCGGTCACTGCGTATTCTGATGTCTTGTGCCGCGACATTTATCACATATAACTTGAAAAACCGATGTCGGATGTCGAGAGATTTTCGAAACACGTCAACGGATAAGCCAATGCACGAAATATGGAACAAAACATCACAGCCGAAGTACGGAAGTGCATGAGCCTTATTTCCCACAACTTTGGAACACGAACCACAAGTAGTTTGTGACGGCATCACAAGCTAGAGCAAATCCAAGATGGCGGACAGAGATGGCAGTATTGCAAATCAATGAGATCTGCGGAATTAGCCAAAGAATAGCCGCCAAATTTGCACCGCTTGGAAAATACGCCAAAAGAAGAATAATGGTGCACAATTCACACAGATAAAACGCTGCTAACACAGTAATCTGAAGCAAAAGTAGTATCCAGCACACATTGATCCAAAAATCCGCGAGGGTATCGCAACTGTTTGGGAGCCGGTGACCAAAGGAACGGTTCATACAACTTTAGCACCGCAGAGGACCAGGGGCCCAACACATCCTTGAATTACAATGCCACTCAGAGAGAGGCAAGGGGCAGTGACTTTATTTAGTGGCGAGCCCCGTCCGCGACGTCACAGTGTTGTAAACGGACATATGTGGCTTATATAAGGAGAACGCTTGCCAGGCGAAAACCCACCACGTCCTGGAACACTGCCGCCGAACCATTCGCTGGAACGGGATAATCTCGAACCACCCAGCTGGCACCACGAGGAGGTTGTTGGGCAAGCCATACACTTAAATGACGCTTAATTGGTGTACTTCTCAGTGTAGAATGCTCTGATTGTGGGTTGATCAACGAATGATGCAGAGTTGCACTATATCACCTAGACAGCAACATATTTTTGAGGTGAATTGGACAGCAATAACCAAGACAACTTTACTGATCTCACTGGATCTGATACGCATGGTCGGGTCTGGCTTCCGGTACACACCGTGACGGCAGTTGTTGTCCTATCTCATGGGAGATGCTTCGCTATTCGGGGAAGGGCAGTGTGCAATTGCACGGCCTTTAAGGCCATTAGACACTGTTTATTCTGGGTCTCTAAAGTAATACCTAAGTTATTTCGCGTAGTTCACAATCTAGTAAGGCTTTGAGCGTAACCACCACGGTGAAACTGTTGAGATGAAACCAAGCAACGCTTTGTCCGTAACACAAGAGACTGACGGATTTTTCACCCATTTTCCCAGTCAAACAGTGCGGGAGTGAGAAAATAAATGTACTGAGATGAAAATTATCCATCAGAAAGAGGAAATGGATAATATTTTAACAGAGAACGGGGTGGGTACCAAGACGAATACGAAAGCAATCTGTCAAGGGCGCAGCCGATGCAATTGTCTCCTGGAAGAAGTTAACGTGAGTAGAGAAGAAGAGAACAAAGTCAGTTGCTGTGGGAGTATGATTCACTATGAGTAAAAAGATGAGAGGTTCCCTGTGCAGCCACTTGAACTGGTTATATCATAGATCTATACGCCTCGAAGTGATATTATATATGGTTAATCAAAAATGGTTCAAGCCTCTTTGTTGGAAGCGTTACTCAAATAGATACTGAATGAACTAACTTAAACGACCCACTGGCCAACCAATATATGGATTTGTACAATTATTTATTTACTCATTTGTTAGTCTCTTGGTCGTTAACTGTTTTACTCATTAGAAGTCAGTTAGATATATTCATCGGGTCAAACATTAGTTTATCCAGAAGCGGTCTGCTTGTATGACTGATCAATACATCCATTTCTATACAACAGCGTATAATCCTTACTCATTTGCCTGAAATCTTTAGGCTTCAAACTAGAAAACGGATCATTTAGTGTATTTTAGCCAGGTATACTTACTTGTAAGTTAAAAAGCTGGACTTCTTGGCACAGTGTTCCGTTCCACGCACAACGCTGTGGGAACCCACGAAATTTTTATGGATCCACGCATAAGTGCAATCCAGCATTGGGAATCCTTTAAACCCTCGTCTTCATTGGATTCTCTGCTGCGCCCAAAGCCGTTGCAATCAAATAACAGCAGTGCGTCAAGACAGACTCAGAAATATGTGATGTTCCTGGATTACCAAATTAATGTCGCCTCGCTCAAGTTTCCACTCCTCCGTCTAGAGTTTAAAATGTAGTATTTGTCGTGTCACACTGCTCACGTAAGCAAGCTGTGAGGCAGTTAGGTTTAGGCGGTCGTACCATCCGAGCACAACACTTCGCGGCATCAATCGACTAGTACGGATTCCGAGATACTTCTGTTCCCAACAAGGTAGACCGATCAGCCTGCAAAATTTTAAGGTACCCCACAGTTTGAACCCGGTGTTTCGCTGATGATTTGGTGGTAGCGTTTGTTTCGGTGTTTTTGCTGAATTAATCGAAGACCTGGGGCATTGTAGGATATTGCTGTTGGAGATGGAACCTTTAACCCAAGTTGTGGCGCTCTGAGGTAGAGCCCTCGCGTTGGCTGCACGGAGCCGACGCCTACGGCCGGGCGCTTGACTTCTGGTATGCTTTGCTCTGTAGTTCAATAGTCCTCTGATGCAGGAAGGCGAAAAAGAGAGAATCCTCATAGATGAAAACCGTTTTCTTTTCTTCACGGCTGTGAACTTCACCGGTTTAGAGTAAGTATTACCAAGAGTATCATTCTGTATAAGATAAAAAAGAACAAAAGCTAGAAAAACAAAAGCAACAAATAAAGTAGATGACTGATGCATCTGCTTGAACGTAGAAGTTAACTACACTTGGTTTACGTTAGTGTTGGTTTATACTTGGTGGCGCGAATAAAGACGATTAGAAAGCAGTGGATATACATCACCTGAAAAAACCAGAACCAATGATCACCAGAGATTGCAATTCAACGATAAATGGATTCAACAAGAGCGCACTGACTGTTACGTGCACAAATGTCCCCAAGTCCTTCACCATCCCGTCAGACAACCATAACCAATGAAACTCATTGTGCATTTTTATGAGCGTCAGCGAAAAATTTAGTATGAGTTACGCATCACCGTAACTCTGCATACTACGACAAACCACGACTTATTAGAGGGACAATAAAATCCGCCATTGATGTAGAAGGCGTTTTACTCGCTGCAAGCGCGATACAACACCGATTGGTGGGATACGCGTCTCTCTTGATATCCGATTGATGGCGCAACTATCGATAAGAAACATCGCGGCAGGAAACAGCAAGCAGGATCGCTCAACCACAATCTTCATCCATAGCTAACCATAGCCTTCATCCGACTATGGTCCAGAGGCAGGAAATCACCGTTTGTAACAGTAGCAATTAATGCGGAAAACCCTCTCCCTGAGTAATGTTGTGGCTCGAGCGCTATCTCACCAAAACATAAAGGATGCGACCTAATAATCCTAGAATTCGCTGTTCAATAAGGGAAACCGAAACCGAAAAGTTATAACTTTGGTGAAAATGTCTGAAGCGCTTTCCATGCGATCTTCGGTTAAAGGATAAGGAAACTTTGCTAAGACCAACCAAGAAATCATCTAAACAAGCAAACCTCGCCTCAAGTACACAAAAGTCCAACTCGATCGCTCGCTGATTCCATTCTGATGGAAGTCTAGACAAGGAATAAGACTGCATTGGCCAAGTCAAGTTGAGGATGATGTGTCAGGATCCCATAAAAACGAGTAACCGTCAAACTCACATTCGTCGGCATGCTCCCGCACCTGACACCTTTAACCACCTGTGAGCTTCTAGAGAGTTAGAAACAAGTTTTCTTGTTTACCAGTGCTCAGTTACTTTACAAAACCCGGCCGAACTGAAAGAGCGACAAGTTTATCAGTCAAATGATATCATCGGAGTAACTGAGACTTGGTTGTACGCTGGGTTGACTTGCGCTGAAGTTACGCTGTCGGACACTTCGGTCATCCGAAACGACAAGATCACAAAAGGAGGGGGATAATTCTGTGTCATCGAAGCAGCCTACAGTGCCAGGCCTTGAAAGTTTCGGACTCTTAGTTCATCGATTAACGTTGGTGCCTCATGCAGTTAAGAGACATAGACAACTGCCTTATAGCTTCTAAGTACCGTCCATAAACTGTTCACCCATAAAGGAACGCCGCCTCGCGAATGCACTAAGATGTACTCTAAAGAAAAGATGCACACATCTTGATCATGGGCAATTTAAATTCACATTGCTTAGAAACCCAAATTTTCTCCGGTCCGCAGCGTTAGTTTGGAAGGTGGCCAGCAGGCTAAGGAAGTTACCGAGCGGACCAGGTTTGGGTGCGCATCTGGGTCGGTACCTCTTCTTTGAACCGCCGGTAGTGGCGGCCCAGTTTTGGCCCTCTTGGGAGATGTGGGATGGCAGTAAGCAGCCTGGTGCCCCACCCGGCCATAATGTCGACAACGATGCTGGCGGAAATTGCAGTCCCGGTGGAAATGCCAGATCCCACAGAAACTCCATGCGTAGGGCGGAGACTTCGCTCGGTTGGATTTGGTGGGACGCGTGGATGATTGCGCCCTCGGTGCTGTGACTGCCTGGACCATACCAGGAGCGGCGACTTTCTGGATCATGGCAGAATCCTGCTTCAGGTTGAGCAATGTTTGACACTCCTCGACCAGGTTCTGGAGTGCGACGGAGCTATCCTGTTGTAGCTTGGACAAGAGGCGCGTCCGGATAGCGGTATCGTGTGGAGACTGGAGACCAGAGACGAAAACCAGGCATTTGAATTGGTCCCCGATGAGTGAGCCAAGTTGAAAACGTTGGCATTCACGGTTGACCACGTCTGCCTACGTGATGAACACGTCGGCAGCACGCTTGGCCGGCTGCAGACACTGATAACGAGCATTGAACAGAGAGGACTGCTCGCCAAACATCTGGGACAACGTTCGGACCGTCTCGTCAAAGGTAACGTCGCGTGAGTTCCTCGGCAAGATGAAGTTGGTGTAGCGTTGGTGGTCGAGAGTAGCAAGTTTGTGCAGACCACGGAAATGAGGCTGGACCTTACCGTGGTGCGATGGTTTGTGTGCTTCAGTGATCCATTGAGCTATACTGGGTGGTGCATTTTTGCACCTTCAGAGCCACCCATACCAGATTGGTCAATGGTTAGAGGCCAGACAAACTCAGCCTCCTGGTCCTCCAGGTTGGGGGTTGGAATGAGGGTGGCTCCTTATTCCTTAAAACTAACTCCTTGTAGCCCAGTGCCAAAACCGTTGCCTTGCGGACAGGTTTTTGAACCAAAGGCTTTGGTAGAGAACCCTAATCGTTCGCCTGTCTAGGCCTGGGCAACCTGACAGTATCCTTCCCACGAAATACAATGAATCTCACTTCAAACAAATTACTGATGCTCTGGCCACCGCAGAGGATAATCAACGGTGCCCTATCTATTGCATCTGGCAAGGTGCATGGGGGTTTGGATGCTACTGCTCAAGCCTTCCCATCTTCTTATTCCCCTTCTTGCGCTTTTTAACCCTTATCGTCCCGTTCCAGCTTCACTTTTATCCCCCCTATTTTTAACCCCCCAATTCTCGGCCCTCCCCCACCTTGCTTCAATAGTCGCTTGTATGTTGGTTTCAACTCACAGGTGAACGCAGAGCGTCATTCCTGCACTGTGAACAGGCCCATGTCCAAGCAAGCCGTGCACCCCAGTTCATCGGGTTCCATTTGGAGCCCTCGATCCACCTTCAGATTGGCATGCCTCAATGTTTGCACATTGCTTCAGATCTGTCAACAGGTAACACTTGCCCGACCATTAGAGACCCTCTCGATCGATATCTGCTGCTTATCGAAGACCCGCCTGCAAGACTCGAGCTCTGTACTCACTCTGCGATCCGATTCAGGAGACACTAGCAGCACTTTCTCATTGCGCATATCCGGTGACGATGAACAATGAACAATGAACAATGATTTATCACGGGATAAAAGCAAGTGCTTGACACGTCCCGTAGGATGGTTGAGGTGAATATGATGAAATCAAAATATGTCTGGGTCATCTATCGAACGTCTGCCGAGATGAATAGTTTGATAAATAAAATCAGTGTAAAATTAAAATAAATTATCGAGCGTAAACGTTCAGAAAGACACTGGGGTGCAGTGATCATTGAGGTAAGGAGTGAGAAAAGCGAAATATGGTCGCTCACTTAGGTCCATTTGATACATAAATCCTGTCGAAATGCATCCGTGGCCTAATCCACAGTAGGGGAGTTTGGGTAACAAAATGTTGGGAGCTAAGAGCAACATCTAATCGTTTTTTGAAAACATCCAAGGTAGGAGAGGATACAACTGAGTCTGGGAGTGCGTTCCAAGGTTTGCAAACCCGAAGGGAAAAGTAATTCCGTCGACACTCTAGACGGCTGTATTGTTCCTTCAACTTTAAGCAGTTACCCCTGAGCTGCGTGTTGCGGCTAAGTTTCAGCAAATGGCGGCATACGTGGTTGGGGTCACTCAATATTTGATACGCTAATATGAGATCACCGCGCAGTCTTCGATAGCGTCCGCTGAAAATTCCCAGCAACTTCAGCCTCCGGTGGTGTGATAGCGCAGGCCCTTTACATTCTTTGTTGCTCTCCGTTGTGATGCCTCTATCGCTTCTAGGTCACGCTTCAACCAAGGTTGCCAAGCTTGGATAGCGTATTCAACACGCGGGCGCATGTAGGAATTGTGCATCATTGGGAAGATTGATGGGTCAAATCTCCCGAATGCCCTTCGCAGCATGCCAACGTGCTGGTTGCCTCTTTTCGCAGCTACCTCAGCCTGTTTTGAACAGTTGAGGTCGCTCTGTACGATCACACCCAGGTCACGTTCCTGGGAGCTATTCTGCAGTCCGTTGGTCCCAAGTGAGTAGGTGTAGTTATGGCTGGCGTAATTGTACGACGCGACATTTGTCTACATTGAACGGCAGGGCGTTTTGAACTGACCAGTTCGACACTGTGTTAAGATCGCACTGGAGCCGTTCATGGTCTTCCGGTCCTCTGATCCTTCGCCATATCTTGATATCATCAGCGAAAAATAAGAAATCGGAAGTAATTGATCTCGCCAAATCGTTAATGAACACCAAGAGTAGACGAGGTCCAAGAACCGAGCCTTGTGGTACTCCGCACGCCACATCGATTGCATCAGACAATGATTCTCGGACTCTCACCACTAGCTGTCGTTCTTGCAGAAAATTGTCAATCCAACTCAGGATTGGGTCGCTAATGCCGTAATTCCGAAGCTTGTGAAGGAGAATGCGATGGTTTAAGCGATCAAATGCTTTTGAAAAGTCCAAGTAGATGACATCGACCCCTACTCCATCATCAACAGCTTCAGCCAGCTATTACGTGCAATTAATAGGTTAGTATTACACAAATGCTTTTGACGAAAGCCATGTTGCTCTGGGGCTATTAAGTTGTGGATTTCCAGGTATTCCATCAGCGTATCTGCGATGATTGATTCCAGAAGTTTGCATAGTACAGGAAGTAGTGTTATTGGACGGTAGTTGGCAGGATCAGTGCGCCTACCTCCTTTATGAATAGGAGTGATGACCCCTCGCTTCCATACTGGTGGAATACGGTTCTCCTCTAGACATCGCTGATAGAAAATAGCCAGTGGTGCTGCTAGATTACTAGCTACTGCCTGTAGAGCCTTTGGTCGGATGTTGTCAGCTCCTGGAGAACTGTGGATACCCAAGCATAACAACTTCT